GCAAAGAATCGATTTTCTTTAAGCATGTTTGCCTTGTGGCACTGACCCTCTGTTGTGTTTGAGTGCAGCTTCGTGGCTAAAAACTAGGCTCTAACATAAGAGCTGGGCTAATGCTGTATATCTGCAAGTGGTGGCCAATATTCCTCCGAATTCCTTCAGTTTGAATCAAATCTTCCCTCCACTTCCCCCCGGCTCCACCTTCAAATGGGCCGCTCCTGCTGCTAGTTCAGATTTACATCACTGTTAGAGGTAGTTCCTCTGAGCTCCGTCAGAGAAAAACTCGCTATACTGAGGATGAACCCTCCATTTTAAAGGGTTTTCCCAACCAAAATGCAGACAAGAATCATTAACACCCACCCACTCTTTTCTTTATTTCACCATTTTCTGGTGCTGACATTTTAGAGGTAGACGAGGCGGATTCAAGTTCACATCATTTTGTCACGTCCAATTTTAACAAACTCTGTAGAGATTGTGCATATCTGCCTGAAAGGATTTTCTAAACCCAGTGCAGATATGCATCATCTGATTTTTTTTATAATATCTTCTACGTTATATTCTTTTAAAAAAACAGTGCTGGCACACTAAATACATCCTGTGGGAAGATGCAAACAGCAAGCAATGGCATCACAGGCAGCTCGGGGAGAAGGGTTTATCTCCTTTGCTAGAAAACAAGACTGAGGAGGGAGCCTGTATTCCCACAACAAATCAGTTTTTTGCCTCTTTCTCACTGTTCAGAGTTTATTTAAGTGCAGACTATAGAAGCTATATGTGACAGCGCAGATACTACAGTCAAACGTACTGTTAACAGGCGGATATCATTTAATTGATATTTCAATCTATAAATCTGCGAGAAAAAGTTTAAACTCACATTATATGCATATTAACATTTTTGTTTTAAGCAGTTAATTCTCTACCGGATCTCTGGAAACAATTTTGTAAAAAAAAAAAAAAGTATACTCACGAATAATGATAAATTAGATTGAATACTTCGACCCAACAGTCTTAAGATACAAACACAACAGTTGCTTGTTTCATTTGGGATAAGAGAAATCACAATGCCTGATTGTTCAGTACATTTTCTTATAGAAATGATGGCAGCCCAAAATTCTCCCTGCTTTTTTGTTTTTGTGGCCGTTTAGCAGATGTGTGGCAGACTGGGAAAGTGAGCTCACTGGAGCACCAGAGGTTGGAAAGGCCATAAGATCCTGTAGCCGACAGATATGGGGTGGAAAGAGATTATTAAAAAGATGGCGGGGTTCAATATAGGAGCTGTCAGATGCAGCATGAGGCGGCTCTGGTAGGACAGTGCCTGCTCAGAGTCAGGATTGGGACTGGAGCATGTAAGCATTTCAATAATTACATATTGTCCATTGTTCTCTGGCGGTGCACTTTTTGTCCTCGGATATTTAGCCATTTACAACTGCCAAATTCATCCAGTGCTGCCCGCTGTTTCGATTTGAGCTTGGTCCTAAAGGTGTGTGCTGTTTTCGGCGGCAAAGGTCTGCAGAGACCTGCTAACGGCGGGGCTCCTGTGGCGGAAGCATGGCCCCTATCGCACGTTTTGGCTGTGCTGTCGAGGACCTACACGGGAACTCCATTCTTCATTCAACGACAAGCCACCTGTTCTCATTTCATCTCCTGCATCCTTGCTGCGTGTCTTGGACCGCTGGTGAAGGGCAGACACCCACACGCTCCATGAGGAATGGAGGCAAGTTCCCATTCAAAACACTCCCCATCTATTTCCTGATGGCCGCCACCTGTTCACCCCTCCCATCCCTGCCCCACCTCCGCTATACACCATTGCTACCACGCAGACACACACACTTAACTCCTGTGTAAAGGATGGGCAGTCTGGCGATCCCCTCTCATTCCCTCCAACAGAGTCACGGGGGGAGGAGAGGGAAGGGGGGTGGGGACTTTGCTACTCGATGGCCCCGAAGTTCCAGATGCAACTCTTTTTAATAACATAATTATGACCATCCTGTGGCTCCCTGTGGCCTTCAAGCTGTGCTGGAAGCTATACACACTGTAGACACACATCAAGACACCTTTTTCTGCATCTAATCAGGATTCAACATCTGCCTTTTATAATTGCAGAGGTCTTTCCTAAAGGTGGCTTATAGTTGGCTCGGGTAGGCCATTTACGTTCCCTCCTGCTGTCACATATTACCACACAGAACCGCATAATGGTGCATCACCTCTTAATCATGGAAAGCGTGAGCCATGAAAGCCACACAAAAGGAATGACTTCCTTGACAGATTATCAATCAGAAATCAAAAATGGCCAGCTTCCTCTTTCCTGACACCCTGGAGCTGGGGCCATCTGGACCTGCCATTTTCTGCTCATTATCCATGCTCACGTCTCCAGCATGTTGGGGTACTGACTTTTTTTTTTTTAGAGTAACTGCAGGCTGCTAGCTCCACTCTTAAAACCTGCACCACTTACTTTGCGCCAGGCTTTTTTGTTTGGCGTTGCAGAAATCTCCGGCGGTACGAGGGCAAAACCGGCACAGCGGTCTGAACCACACAAAGTTCGAACTATCGAGGTGAAGTTCAATAAACACACTCTGTGAACGGTAGAGAAACTGTGAAGGATTATTTCACTGAGCACCACAATGAGCTGCAGCCTCTGTGGGGACCAACTAATGATGCGGGCAGTCCTTTCTCTAATAGGGCTAATTGGGATTCAGAGAAATCGAATCTAATGATAGAAGGAGACGAACAGGTCTCAGTGGTGCATGGCAGGGCTGGCATGAGATCACAAGCATTAATGGAGTTGAAGCTTTCACTCAGGCCTGAAAGACATCTGTTGCCAGCAGGTAACTTTGGCTTTATCATTAGCAGCGAGAGCCACCAATGCTTGTTTAGCATGTTCATTTAAAGCGGTATATATGTTCGCTGCTTAATTCAAGCTGCCAACATCGTCCCCGTTTGCAGGTGAAAAATGAGTGCGCCACGCAGCGCACCAGATGGCAGGACTGCATCATCAGTCTGAGACAGTAGACATGTGACGGATGGATTCCCCAGAGCAAACCGTTCCAAACCAAGAACCACACTGAGAGGACACTTGCTCACAAATGAGCACTTTTGCGTTCCCATAATGCAATGAGAAAAATCTAAACAGTGAAAATCCGATCAGTCGGAACTCCATTTTAATTTCTCATTGATAATGTATTAATTTAACGTGTGTCGAGTAAAGATTTTTCGTTTGTCCCCAATAACGATCCAAGTGATTTTAATACTGATATACTGGAGTTATTAAATCTCAATCTGGCAAATCCATTTCCAATAACTCTGCAAACTTCACAACGTATCAAACTAAATATCACTTATTAGTTTGACCTTCTTCTGCTCTGTAGTGCAGTAGGAAAACGAATATGTTTCATATAACAAAAGAGCTAGGACCCTAAATCAAAGAGCTGGGAAGGACATGTCAAAATTGTAAACAAAGAGCAAAATAGATTAGTTTAAATAGTCACTGACCTGGACATTTATTTGAGTAGCCGTGTCCTCATGGCAGATGTCTTGTCCACTCATGGAGCTCATTTGTGTTGATTGTGCCCGTGTATTCATTAGCATTCTGAAAAAAAAATACACTGGCACTCTACTCAGATTATTCCCTGGTGCTTTTACACTTTCTTTTCTTTGTTTATGTCAAACCGTTGTATTGAGGGATCAGTTATGAAAAATGTGAACATCAACAATACAATTCAAACTTTTTATCATTTGGACACAAAGCATTTAACCTTTCTCAATAAAAATTGTATTTAATGGATATATTAATCTGTGTTATACACAAGGATATTGTCAATAAGAATAATATTTCCATTCGGATAATAGAACATAAATAAAAATTTAGCTGTATTTGCTACTTAGCAAGACTTCATACCTTTATGGAACTGTGAAGACTGCATGTACATAATTAATAGTGATATCAGTATTAATCAGTAATCAGCAATGAGATCTCCATAAATGTTTCATTTTGTCCTAAATAACAGGACACAAAACTGATCTACACATTTACTTTACTAATGTATATTATATTACTAGTGTGTAGTGATCTGCACATTTAAAGGGACTCAATAAACTAAATAAATGTATTTAAGTGCAAAGATCAGTCTTTGTTTATATGTATCCGTTTGCCAAAACCGTCACCCAGGACTACTGGCAGCTTGCTTCCCAAAGAAAAAAAACTAAGTTAGGCATTCTGTATAAACAGGTGACATCTCCGTCTACTGTTAGAAGCTGCAAGGTGAGTGGGACAAATATCACATTTGCAGAGAAATCCAAAAGTGCAGAGAAGACATGTCACTTCACGTCAACTTTAACCCTCGCAGAGAAGTCAATTCTTCCCTGTTGAATCCTGAGCAGAGTTTGAAAAGTTGCAAATTAGAAAAAAAAAAGAAGAAAAAAAGTGTGCAGGCGGAGATGGGTTCTTTTGTGATGGAGGCATCTGAATATGACATGCAACCGGCGGTACGTGCCATGAATAAATCATACTTAACGGGGCAAAGAGAGTAAACAGCTGTGCATCTTCACCTCAGATGCCTGGAGAGGCCTGTCAGACAAAGCAGTTAACAAAGTCTACCTCATCATCATGCCAGACGTGCTGCAGAAAATCCAAGTCCCAATCTTGCACTATTACCCCACTCCCACCTTCTCTTCCCGCTTTACGAGAGAGAGAAAAAAAACCTCCCACAGTATTTCTCGGGAGTTGACTTTAAAGTAAGGTTAAAGCAAAGATGGTAGCATTGCAGCTAATCTGTCCCCAGAGACTCCGCCTCAGTGTGTTGTAGTTAAGGACCACCCAGATCGTCTGTGTAATTCAGGCAAACCAGAGCTCTGGGATTAGCTGCCAATAGGAGCTCACTGTGCAAAGAGGTTCATTAAAACCTATTAACACAGCTACAGGCGTGACCCAGCTCTTTAGGGGAGCATCGCTGCACCCAGTGTAGCATTTGTATAAGAAGACATCCTTTTTTTTTTTTTTTAGAATATAGTTTTATTTATAATTTATAATTGGCAGATACAAAAAACTCTTGAACTGTATCCAAAATGTGCAATAAATCACTGTTGATTTTTTTTTTCCCAAAAGAAAATATTTTTTTAAAAGAAACAAAACATCTATTTTGGAAAGTTGACAACCAATGTAAACTGGAGTGAACTGGTAATTCTACAGAGGTTCTGCTAATCGCTACTCATTCTCTTTTAACCGACTACAGTCGTTAACAAATTGCAAATCTGCTTCGCTCTCCCAAGATGATAACCAAAGTCATTATGTGTACATACATCTACATCGGTGACATTCTATTTCCCATTGTTAAATACAAGAAAGGCAATCATATCCATAAGCAGCACAAATGTGTAAAACACATCAAAGGAAATCTTCTAATTGTACCAAGACTTTCATGTGAGAGAGGGTAGACAAAAAGGGGAGGGACAAGTCCAAGCATAATGTTGTAAACAATTACCTTCACTCACCGAGATGCACGAAAGAAAGTTGGAGCTTGTTAAGTGCTTTACAGCTGTTATTACTCTGAACAAGCGTCAACCTCTGGAATCAAACGTTGAAGGCAATGCTTGATAAGGAACTCTTATTTTGACCACTCACTGCAGCGCACCACATGAAACTAGCTGCTGGTCAGAAATTCAATGAAACTTCCCAAACCGAATGGAAATGCAGTTTAAAAAAAACATTGTATTTAAAGAAAAGACTTACTTTAAGTTCACATTTCAACTGAAACACATCCACACACAAAAAAAAAGAGGGGAAAAAAATTAATTTACATCCACATTCTTGCCATGATCCCAAACCTTGACAAACATTTAGCATTAGCAAAAGGCTTTGAAATGATGCTGGTGCCTTACCCTTTAAATCCCACAGATATGAAAAAGAACTAAACAAAGTCATCTTGATTTAATCTTACAGTCACATGAATACACAAGGACAAAATCCACCATCTGAGGGACAACTGTAGGCGGGAGAGTATCCAAGCATGTCAAAAATGTTCAAGTGCAAATAATGTGTGAATGTCTTTTCTTATGTTCCCCGCGCTGTCTTAAACTGGTCTGCAAGAAGATAAAATGGATACCTCCACAAAGAGTACATTCCTTTTGTACAGCCCCATCCCCCAGATAGCAAACGCCACGAAACAAAAATAAGAAAATTTCAAAAGAACTAAAAACAAAAATACATTTCTTGTACATAGAATGTCCAGCCTGTGTTTGTGAAATAAAAACAACTCTCTACACAGCCCAAACACACAGCCTAAATCCTTCATTCCTATACAACTCAAAGCTTTTTAAATGCAAAGTCTTTAAACATGCAACACCGTTCTTAATTCCTATCTAATTCTGCTGTGCTAGATTCATAGTAACTCCAACGGACGCCTTTATTTCCAGCTAACTACAACTACAACTACACTTCAACAATCCTACCAAAGTCGCCCGAGACCATTAATTTCCAAATACTTTAAGGACACTGATATCTGAGAGGATGCTCATTTGTCATGTGAAAAACACGGTTCCCTGTCAAGTATCCATATAAAGCACTTACGTAGCTTACTGTGTGCTCTTCCCTTTACTTCAGGACAAACGGCCCAGTAGAGAGATGACGTGTGGGGTTAGTGCAGCTCTGTGGAGTGTAGGAAGGGGGTGGGGGGGGCAAGTGATTGGAAACCAAACAAGCTAAAAATAAAAATAAAAGTCCTTTAAAGTCACATAATACTAACGATGGCATGCAGCCCGGGACTGAACCGTCACGTGCCGAGACCCTGACATCAGATACGGAGTCCCCTCCTCGTCCCGAGCTTTCCCAAATTCGTTGACCTAAGCTGGTAACGTCTCTTTGGAGTCATGTGTGTCCAGCTGACTGCGGGCATTGAGTAACAGCCATCCCTACGTTCGCTTTCAGCTCTACTGAGTGGAGATCTACTCCGCAGTTTTAGGGCAGCTCAGATCTGGGAGCGCATTTTGTCTGCGCGCGCTGCCAAAGTTAAATCAAGCTGAGCCTTTTACAACCTTTTACACAGAGCTGCGCTTCAACATCACAGCCAACCTCCCCCCCCCCGCCCTCTTTTGCCATGACATCTTCTCTCACTCGGTCCCTCTGCGGCCTTAGAGCCTTTACTACATGCAGACACAAGCACATCGGGTGGTGAAAGAGTTCGGCCTGAGCTGAGGTGCACCTTTTTCTCTTCTTTTTTTTGTAACATTTCCAATGCAGTAAATCTAAACTCAAATGTTAGCATATTTTGAACAGGTTTACACATTAAGTTGCCATTTCTACAAACAGCACAAGATTGAAATCCAGCATTATCAGTACCTTTAGGCTTATACAATGGGTAATGAGTTAATGCAGCCCCGGAGAGGCTAGCACATTTTGGACATCTTTTAAAAACAGCTTTCTTAGCTCTGAACAGTTTGATGTCGTGCTTTGGTTAGTGAGAGAAACTATAACAAAAAAAATATATATATTTTTTTGTTTTGTTACTTTTTGTCCTTAATTTGTATCAGCACAGCAAAGACATTTAAAGAAGCCAGCGCCAATCTAATTCTGAACACCACAATCATGTTGTGAATAGCGACAGCAACAAAAGCAGGTTAGCCATCGTCAGATGTATAACACCTTACTTTTGTCTGACCAAACAGAGATCATGACTGTAGAATGTCTGTAAAATGACAGTGACATTTAGTAAACTGAAGGGTAGAAGATGTTCAAAATCAGTCTCTGTCGACTCTGGAATCAGATGTAGCAACATCTAAAAATGTACAATTTTGTGGATACAAACACTTTCTTTCCAAATACAGAGAGGAGTTGTATCTTTCCAACTGATCAAACTTGAATGCAGATCGGTCCATTAGAAATATCTGCTCTACTCGCACAGCTGGACAGTGTTAATATCCATACATGACAAGTGCCTGATGTTTGCACTTAATGGACTCAACTTGTATTACTTGGCTGTATACCTCTGTTGTTGTTTTTCTCATTTATTTTTTGCTATTGGTTATGCGCTGGCCTATATTTCCAGAAGTAAAGCCTTCAAAATACCAGCGGAAAAAAATAAACAAAAAAAATCCTTCAACAGTGGAATGGATGACTGAACAGTGACAGGGTCACCAGGAGACAAAAAGGGAGCTACCAAAGCCGGTCATCTCAAAACCGAGGGTTGTTTGTAAACCTTGCTTGAATCTCTTAACTGAAAATAAAAGTGCAAATTGCTACCACTGTCCTGTTGGTGTGTCCTTAGTAGTGCTTCTCCTGCAGATAATCTTTCATCTTGTTGGGTAAGGGCAGCTTTTGGATCAGGTCTATTCGTGTGTATTGCCTAATGACGAAGCGGCACAGATACTGCAGGGAGCGCACTTGCATAAACCGAGATACTGGGTTGGTTAGTCTGACCGGGTACGTTGCAGACCCTGGTAGGCGAGACCTGGAATAACAAAAAGCCCCGTTCTCCGAGTCTTTGATAGAGTGTTCAATTAAATCAACGATCGATGTGTGTCCCTCCACATCGGGCTGTTCGTAGAAACTGAAGCGTCCATTGGAGTGTTCAATTCGGGTGTGGAGAGTTTTGCCCTGTGACCTGAAGCTCAGGCTGAGCAGGTACCGGTCATCCGAGCTGTCTCTGACCAGGAATGATCCATCTGCCAGGTTGACCAGCTTTTCCTCTGCCTCCCACCTTGTGATGGGACCCCAGTACCAGCCCTGCCTCGCGAGCTTCTTAAGCTCTTCTGTCAGGCTGGTCACGACCATGGGCCCGCTGCTCTGGACCGAGTCATACACACGGCTGACCCCAGGAGCTGAATTTGGGTCGAAGTTGAGGTGGTGTCTTACCCTCTCGGCTACCTGGCTGTCTGTGGAGCTGAAGCCTGAAAAAGTCCTTGGAATATGTCCAATACTTGACATGGGCGGCAGGAGTGGGGAGAGAGGAGGTGGGACCTCAACTCTGGAGCTTTGGAGCATCATACCAGCAGAACTAATAAGAATACTGTTAACTGAGGTGTCCATGAAGGAATCCAGAGACATCCCGCTAACCAGTTCATGTTCATCCGCACCCTGCTCTGTGTGGAGGGACCTGCTGTCAGCCTCTGCCACCACTTCCATGGGTGTGGAGCTGTCTACATAGGAGTGGGACCCTTCCGGGTACATTCCCTCATCTAAAGGCATTGTGTACTGGATATAGTCCTGGGGCGTGAGCCCCAGCACCACAGGCACGTCATTTTCATCAATGTTTAGATGCAGCTCCCCGTTTGAGGGCTGCTGGAGATTCTTTAAGGACTCAGCTTGGTCCTGAAAGAGCCCTTCCATCTGGAAATTGTGAAATTCTTTCCGAACACCATTCAAGTTAGGACTTGGAGAAGGGGAATGAACCATGGCTTTGACCTTTACTTCCATCTTGATGCATGCCTCATCAGAGTTGACTGAACGCAGAGGCCACGGTGAAGGACTATAATGGTGAATCCGTAAAGATGAGGACCTCAGCGGTCTCTGGGCTTTCACTTCATTGCAGCTTATTGGGACAGAGGAGGATGAGAAGGTGTCATCGTCATCCCCTGAACAGATAGCAGAAGAGCCGCCTTTCACTTTTGCCTTTTGCTTAGCGGACAGCCGTCTCTTCAGAGAACCCATCAGGCCCTCACTCTTTGAGCGACTCTTATTCTGGCCCCCCTTCTCATCTTCACTGCCAAAATCACAGCCCGAAAGCTCTTTGGTGTAGCAGCCGCCAAAGAGTGATTCCTCCTTAGAAAACTCTGTTGTAACCGAAGGCTGCTGGAGCATGACAAAGTCACCCTCCTCTTTGCCCTTTATGTTTAGGGACTTGCGGATGGTCTTAAGGCTTATCTTCTTCATTCTGACAGGCCCTCCAAAGTGGGGGCATGGGATGACTCTCCTGGTATCCTGATGAAAGTACTACCCACAATGTCCTCCCATCAGGCCACACCAAATAAGTCATACATACAGTTGAGCCATGGAACCCTGCAGAAACAAAAGCACATCATAAATTCTTGGCTTGATTAAAAATTAAGTTGTGTACATAATACATGACGCCTGTGTATATTTTGCACATATTATGGAATTCAAGTAAATTTGGCACGCCTGGTCACATTTTAGTGTAAAAAGTTCAGAGCTGTTGAAGAAATATCTATTAAAGATATGGGCTTATAGGAAATCTAAGCTCTCTTGATGTATTACCTCGGTAATAATCAGCTTTTTAGGGGAGAAAGCTAATTTTTAAAGTTCAGAATTGCATGGAGCATCTCAATATGTATTCCAACTATCCAGGTACCGTGGCCATGACCCGTTCTTTACAGCAAAAAAGACAAAAGCATCTTAAACCAAAATTTAACAATTCTGCCAATAGTATTTTCTGGATATAAAAGGCATTTCTTTGGTGAATTTTCCATTCCCTATTTTAATTTGCTTTCCAAACTCAATGACAGTTAACAGTTTGAGGTGAAATTTCACATTAGGGAATGACAGAAGATCTGCATAGTAGCTGTACTGAACTACACTCATTCATCTCCTTCTGCAAACCTATGTGTATATTGCTTATTTTCAAACGCTGCAGGCAGTTTGGCTGCAGTTCCATCTGTCCTGAACATCTTAACATGCTGCACTACAACAGTATTGTATGTTTACATCAAAGTACTTCCTTCTGTAAATGTTGGGCACCTGGACAACAACACGTCAATTTATTTGCAGTATTTTTCTGGGTAGATGTATTGGTATTTATAATGTCCTGTCCAAGAGGCCATTTTTACGTTTGCACTGCTGAGATTAATTTTAACAAGATGCTCCAACAGGGCTACCATTGCCCTTGAACACAACTGTGCAAAACCTTGACGATTACAAATTCAGAAATATAGGTCAGTTAGTTTGCAACTTTTGTGTAAGATAGCACCTTGTTTAAATTGTCAGAAAGTATTCCCAATCTGCTGTAAACAGAATCCAGCTATTTCTACAGTGTACTTTTGGCATAATGTCCTGCATCCCGTGCATTTTCAGAGATGGCACTCTGAGGTACTTAAAAAGGCCTTCACTGTGTAGAGCATGTGTGGGAAGTTATGGTGGAGAAAGTCTGGGTCTTATAAAGTTCACAAGTAAACAGCTTGTGTTAAAGATTGTTTCCCTTCTGCACGACTCACCGTGGCCCACACAAAACAATTAAAATACGATTAAAAGAACACAGATGGGAACACCTTTGTCGTTATTTCTGGCATTTCACAGTAATTTCATGTCGAATACATATGGCTAACGAGTTGTTTCTACAAGAAGAATCCGGCACAATGTGCTAAAACATAATGGTCAACATAACACGCCGACCATGCAGAATATACTGGCGATGCATTGGAGTGTCAACAGCTGGAGGCTACTTCATCTCCCGTGTAATAAGGGTACAGAAGTTCATTACTGCACACCAAAACTACCTGATCTGAATCTGTGTAAGAGAGGAGAGTCCATTCAAGACAAAATGAAAGCTCTACCAGCCTCTCCAAGTACTTTTAGAATCGATTTTGCTTAAAATCTGGCACTCCCAAAGCATATTTTGTCCAAGATACATCAGATTTTTAATGAATGTCCTATCATCATCATCCCATCAGTATTTTTCATATATAGCTAGGGTTATTCTGCCAAAGCAACACAACAGTATACACACAAATCTGTCTCTTGAAGCATCTCAACAAAGTAGTTCGATAATCAAGACAGCAGCAATCTGATTACTCACCATTATCTGCAGGAAAATGGTGACTCAGTTGGTCGGGTCAAGGTCCACCTCCACCACCTTTCATTTGCTGCTGTAGAACACAAAGCTAGTTCACTGCAAAGTCCAGGCTTCTTATTTATCCATAACTTTATCAGAGAATACACACATTAGGCTATATTACTGATCAGGAAATAACCAAAAAGACAAGACGTGAAATAAGCCAAAGTGAGCCAGGTATGCCCTGACCTGGAAAGGCCTGCAGACACAAGAGCATGCCTTTAGCTCGGCTAAGCTGCTTGGATGTCCACTTTCCTAATTTTGATGACAATACCCTGAAATCTTTAACTTGCTGTGTGAATGACTTGCTACACTTCAAATTTGTAAAGAAGAAAATGAGTTGCACGACAGGGCTTGGCTATTAAACAGATGTTGGACTATTAGATGCTAATAAATGGCTGTTAGCAGAATCGCATTAAAAGTATATTTGCAATACCTGGACATGCTTTAAATGTAACATCATATAGCCTCTTACCTGGTCTCTTCTGACTGTATTACTGGGTAAAATGACCAAAAGCTTCAATGTGCCTTTGCAGGAAAAAAAAAACACGCCGTGGAAGATTCGCTTCTTGACGATTGTTGGCTAACGTTAGCAGAGCTAATGCTAGCTTGCTACCCAAATCAGGCAGCTTTGTTAGCGTTTTCTGTCGAAAACATTGTCGTTACCTTCCGCTTAGTCCGCCTCTGTGCCCACACAAAAGCACAAAGTGTTCACACGGGCGGAGCCGACACTTATCGGAGCACACGGGACTATATTGACGGCAACAATGATACATTAATGGGACATCTTTGGACCTCGGCTGGCTAACACTTTGTAGCTCGCGGCCTCTTCCTTTCTTCCTTTGTTGCCTGTTGAATTGTGGGAACAGACTCGGAGCATTCACATGCAGCGAATCACACACACCCTTGCATCCCTGAGGCAAACGCTGTGCACGCAGCCGTGACACTCACAGGTCATGAGCACAGTTTACTCACATCACAAGAAAGCATGCAGATGTCGGAGTTCTTCGATTATTCGACATTGTCATGATCAATAGTCACAGCCAAAGTAAACATATTTCAAATTACCTGTCCGTCTTAAGTTCATTGCCAGGCAGAGATCGTACATATTTGTTCATCAACTGCAACAAAAAAACAATGGGCTAAGTTTTTAACGCCTTAGCATTGTGTTTGTTTTTGCTTTTACAGCTTTTATAGCTCACTCATGAGTATTTGCTGGTTCTGTATTGCTGCATTATTGATTAATTCTTTCCCTGCTGTTAAATACTGGAGAAGGGCACATCATGCAAATGAATGGCCTTGATGATCTAATACTACAAATCAACTTTTTTTATTGCATGTAAACACGGATTGTGATAATAAACTGTTAGGTTCTCCTCTGGTCAACATGATCACTATTTAAAAGAAATGTTGCGCTATAGTACTGTATAGATAGATAGATAGATAGATAGATAGATAGATAGATAGATAGATA